CTACTGAATCTCCTAGCGGATACCCCGATTAAACGTTTACGTATTTGTACTTGTATCATTTTTTTTATTTTTTTATTTAAAACAAAAAGGAAAGTTCTCGAATTTTTTGTTTTTTGTTTTAAATTCGCCGTTGCCGGGGGTACTTGTATCATTGTTGATAGTCAAACGACTTTAATATTAAATATCTTCAAATATTTCAGATTAATTCGTTCACATGTGTCAATGGTCCTATTGGTACATATGTAACAAGAACTTGTGGAAGAAAAAGATAATTGATTAGAACATCAATGTCAATTACCAATTAATATAAAGTTGAAATAGCTAGAAAACCTAATAAAGGTTTAAAGCTAATCGCCAAATTCACGATTGCTTGCTTAATCAACTACGACACAATGAACATAATTTGTAACCATATAAACGTAATTAAGGCCAACACAGAAACAAACAGTGAGCCTTAATACAACCATTAATGATTTCTAATATACATATGTAAAATATAAATCGTATATGAAAAAGATTACAAAACAACAAACATGAATTTCGTACATTTGGTAACCTTACATTTGAAGTAACTTTAGATGAGAAACTAAGTATCATTTACAAAAAAAAAAAAAACTAAGTATCATTAATAAACAAACAAGGACTATCTGCTAATGTTAGTGTATGAACCGGTTCGGTTTGGTTAGAGGTTGATGTTAGTTCAATACCTACCAATAAACCATTGTTCGTCTTCAAGAGTTCAAGAGATTGGATGAATCCAACGGCTCGTAAGCGAAGGGTGCATAGAGACTAGAGTGTAGAGGATCGGAGCAGTCGTAGGATTGGTTTGATGCGATTTTTGGTTTCACATCAACCACTGAAAAAGTGGCACGTGGATACATTGAGACGAGCGTCTTAAGAATAAATGCTTTTCTTGTTTATTAATAAAACATGTAATGCTTTTCTTGTTAAGGAAAAAAATAAAATAAAAATAGAAATTCCTTGTCTAATCCTTCACGCCGCGTCTAGCCATTAAAAATGTTCGGACAACAACTTCGCTTTCTCTATCTCTTAGCTAAGCAGCTAAAAAGATGAGCTCGGCTCGGCTTGGATCAACCAAAAAAAAAAAAAGTATCTTTTTGTTGTGAATAGACTACAATGTTTTTTTGGGTCAATTGGCTTAATATTCATATTGGGCAAAACAATTAAGAATATAACTATACTTATTGAATAATTAAGTTAATAACAATGAGATAATGCCAATTGTAACCCTACTTTTTTAGAATAACAAGTTTTAAGAAAAAAATAACGTGGTTTGATAAGAGAAAGGATGCACTCACTTGTTTATTCTTTCTTTTTTTCCTTATAAAATTAGTTTTTATTTTTATTTCATCATTTTTGCTTCAATTTATTTGTATAAATTAATTTAATTTTGTGATTATATTTAAAAAACACATCTTTTGCAAATAACATAGTTTGAATTTTTAAAAACGTACATATTTTTCTG